TCAGAGTGATCCCCAGTTAGTAAACGACCATACCCCGAACCCAACAATTGACCATTCTCAAGAGGAGTCGACAACATCTGCAATAGACGACGACCTGATAGAGGAAGCTCTACTTGTGCGGGATTTGATAAGAATTCAGGTCCCAAAATCAACACAGACTGACAATATTTCAAATGAGGTAGGTCACTGTGTGCCGCCGCCTGCTAATACTCATTACGGGTTAAATAACGCTGCGAAGGGTATAATTCATGGTAGTTCGGGAACGGATTTGCATAGAAGGCTGGAAAAATTGTGCGGAAGGTGTGAAAGGGTTATTGATGATAGGGATATCTCAAAAACTAACCTTCATCAAGTACTTATTCTAGGCGATAGCACTGCGACAGACATCCATAAATTCTTAAAAATACAAAAAAATGAAAATTATAATGTGGTTACCTTTGCAAAGCATAATGCAAACTTAGATAATATTGTACAAGATCTAAATTTACTCGCAAAGGACTTTTCACAAAACGATTATGTTGTTATTTCTGGTGGATTACAAGATGCCCGATGCGGAAATCAAATAAGGACACAGACTCTCGAATTACTTTCTACAATTGGATTGCGCACAAACCTAATTGTACTGTCTGTACCTCTGTGGGGTAATAGAAGAGTACTTAATGGCTTCATTGATAGGGTGAATATCGGGATCTACGAAGGATTAAAAGATATTTTGAAGAAATACATTAACTTAAACTCTTTTCTTAGCGCATCAAATTTTATTTTTAATAACGCACTTGCTATAAGAAATATTGGCAAGCAGAAAATTGCGGAACGTCTTGATAACTTTATTCTAGGGGTAGGTTGTGGCAACAGATCGTCCTCTTCTTCTTTTTTAGTTTAAATTACAGCGAAATGAATATAAATCAAACAGATTTAAACATACTTACAATAAAATTTCTTTTGCTCAATGTTCAGTCATTGCGTAACAAATCTGACGAGCTACAGGTTTTAATTGCTGATCTTAATATGCCTGCCTTTGTACTCTTGACAGAGCATTGGCTCGCGGAGGACGAATTGTGTTACATTCCAAATTACGGGATTTTGTCGAAATATTGCAGGGAAGAAGGGTATGGGGGAACAATTATTCTTGTCCATGAAAATGTATTGTGTCATTATGGCGTAATCAGTATTGACACTCACAATAATCTTATTATTAAAAATCAATTTGAATTTTCTATAGCTTACGTAAAAAGTCTAAATATTTATATTATATGTGTATACAGGCCACCATCTGGAAAACCAGCAGTATTTCTTCAAAATCTGGAAGTTTTGCTGCATAAATTCCCAATTAAGTCAAAAATTGTACTCGCAGGGGATTTAAATATTGACAATGGTGACTTGCACTCTAGTGATACAAAATTGTTGATTAACTTATTGAACTCATTAAATTTAAAGGTATTTGTAAATGAACCGACGAGAATTACAAATCATTCCGCAAAAATAATAGATTACTTTTGTAGCAACTTCGAATGTGGAGAGTTTAGTTGTCAGGTAATACCCTCTGGTCTATCAGACCATGAAGCCTTGGTGGCAGAGTTACGAACTTCTAAAGAAAAACAAAAAAAATTTTTGGTGAAACGCAGAATATATAGTCGGCAAAACTTTAGTAAATTTAAAAATTTAGCTAACCAAATTGACTGGAGCCAGTGTCTAACTTCAGTAGATTGTATAAAGTCATTTCAATCTAAGGTATTCGACATATTTAATAAAAGCTTTCCACTCCGAAATATAAAAACCAATAACAAAAAACTATGGATAACTAAAGGAATTAAAATCTCTGGCAAAAATCTAAAATCACTCCACACTATACGAAAATTTACAACAAATCAAATTTTTATAGGATACTTTAATAGATACCGAACTATTTATAGAAAGGTCATAAAAGAAGCAAAAAAGCTCTATTATGAAAATAGAATTCATAGATCTGAAAATAAAAGCAGGGAATATTGGAATATCATTAATGAATTAAGAGGTAAAAAAACTAAATCTCAAAATCCAGTAGATATTCATCCTCACGAACTGAACACATTCTATACTACTATTGCACAAAAATTATCTGAAAATTTAATGTCTAATACTGACCCGCTTACATACTTGAAACCAATCTTGCATACAGAAAAATTTAACCTGATTTGTACTAACAGGGACCAAGTCCAAAAAATATTTGGGTCAATAAAAAAACAAAATACAACAGGAGAAGACAACATTTCATTGAGAATCCTAAAAAAATTACCTGGCAATGCTATAGATGTGTTGGCATCAAGCATCAACAAGTCTTTTGAAACTGGTGTGTTCCCTTCTTGTCTTAAGTCAGCGATTGTCATTCCCATTTTTAAAGGGGGCGACAGCACTGATCCTTCTAATTATAGACCAATCTCGCTATTGAGCATATTATCTAAGGTTATTGAGAAATTAGTAAAAGAACAGCTTCTCTCCTATTTAAATACATATGGCATTATAAACAAAAATCAATTTGGCTTTCAGAACGGTAAAAGCACAGATGATGCTATTTTCTCATTTTTGGAAACCTTATATCTGGGACTTAATGATCGGGAGGTTGCCGCGGCAGTGTTCTGTGATTTTTCGAAAGCATTCGACTGTGTAGATCACGGGATACTGTTGCGTAAGCTGGCTCATTATGGTATTCAGGGAATCCCTTTGAACTGGTTTGGATCGATGCTCTCCGAAAGATACCAATCTGTGAGCGTGAAGGGGGACACATCACAAAAGGCAAGAGTTTCTTGTGGCGTGCCACAGGGCTCTGTCTTGGGCCCCATACTGTTTCTTATATATGTAAATGATTTACTAAAACTTCCAGTAACTGCAAAACTAACAGCATTTGTTGATGATGCCAACGCACTATGGACCTCAAAAACTCTTGAAAATTTAAACCTAACCATCGAATCAGATCTATTAAGTATTAAACAGTGGTGCGACTCGAACAAGCTTTGCTTTAACATTCAAAAAACCAATATTTTAACTTTTAAATGTGCCTTGTCTGATATAAAAATTGAAGATCAAATCCTCGAAAACAAAATAACTGTAAAATATCTTGGCATTTACATTGATAAGCAACTTAAATTTGATTCTCATATAGACAACCTAGCAAAAAAAATATCTTGTGCCTGTTACGTCATTAGAGCAGTTACTCAAGAACTCGGCAAAAAAATAGGAAAAAATGCTTACTGCTCTTTAATAGAGTCCCATATTCGATATGGGATCGCTTTCTGGGGTTTTTCGCCACAATCTTCAATTCGCACTTTATTTATTTTGCAAAAGAGGGCGGTTCGATATTTATGCAGGGTAGGTTGTAGGGAAACCTGTCGGGGCTTGTTTAAGGAGGAGGCTATTCTGACTGTGCCCTGTATTTTTATTCTTGAGTCGGTATCTCTTATATATAAAAAGTCTGCAAGTCTTGTTCAGGAAAATAATTATTATCTTCGTAATAATAATACGTTACCACTCCCAATACCAAAATTTGCCTTAACAAAGCAATCGATAATTTATGAGAGTAAAAAAATGTTTAATAAACTACCACAGGATATAAAAAACGTTTCCTGTTATAAAGCATTTCGGTCAAATGTTAAAAAATATCTAGCCACCAAGGCTTTCTACAGTTTAAAAGAGTATTATGACGACTAAATGAGCTTTGTGTTACAGTTATTGTATTTTATCTATTTTATAAGTCTAGACCTATTCATTTTGAAATTGTGTTGTGACTTGACTTTGACTGGTTGTTTTGTTATGTATGTATTTAAGCGTGAGTTTGTACAATTTTGATCATGCACCATAAGTTTACTGTCCTGTAATTTTAATATTAAGTATATTCTTTAGTCTAAGGAAAATTACCCCTTTGAGATGTTACTTGTTTTATTATTGTTTTGTTTATTTTATTATTACTCTTGCTTTGTCAATGAAAATCTACATTTTTAGACAATAAAGCTTGCTTGAAAAAAAATTGGAAATATTGACAGTTGAAAATTGACTTTTTGCAACTTTGACAGACTGTAAAACCTGAACGGTTAATTTTAGAGTAAAACCGATTTTACATTCCTATCTTAGATTTTTATAAACTATCATTTGACACTAACTTTGAATTAAATCCATGATTAAAAATTCCAGTTAAAATGGTCGTTTATCCCGGTTGCCAAATTTTCAAAATGATCCGCTTTTTAGTTTTCCATTAACGTCTAATACGCCATCCACCGTGGGACACCCTGTATGTACTGTAAATGTTAAATTTTAAGTTCTTGTATTTTTCTTTAATATTAATATTATAACGTCATATATTTTTGTATTATGTTATTTACTGTAAATGGCTTGTCCGTTAATAAAGTTTATTAATATATTAATTTACGATCTCAGTCTGCACCTTTTGCCTTGCTGTCGTGGATGTGGAAGGGATGTCCGAACTATCCTTATTTCCTGCCTTGGTCTACTTGTTCGTTTAAAGTTACCTTAATAAAAAAGCTTGGCGATATAGGCGAAAAAATTGAGACTGTGTAGGCGACGGTGGATAGTTTTGTACTGGGTCTTATAGAGTGCAGTGGTGCATCTGGAAACGACGCTCTCGGTCTCATAGACCGAATTGGCAGTTAACGTGTCAATTTAATTATACAAAATATATTGCCTTTCTTTCACGTTTGGAGAAAAAATAGCGTGTTGCATACGGAGTAAAAGCTACTCCTAAATAAACAATAAATTTCAACAATGAGCACTGACACAAGCGAGGGCACAAGCCGTGCACAAGTCATTCAGCTCAGAAGATATAAGAAAGTTACTATAGTATGTACTTATGAGTATGACAAACTTGATAATTTACCTGATCTAAACTTATCTCACAACTATACCACTATGCTAGGAACAGAGAAGTGGCTACCTACTGAAAATTAGTCGTAATACTAGAGGAAAGCGGAACCAAAATAAAAAACATACAAAAACCCGAGCAAAGTATTTACCTTATTGTATGGAGGATTTTTCACCTGGTCAGGGAGAAGAATACAATCATCAGATGCATCCAGTTCTTTCGACCTATCCGAATGATCGTTGTTTGAATTTCCTTTCGACTCTGCCATATTCCAGCCCAGTACAATACTGGAATCTCTGGCTTCCAAATAAGATTCATATTCTCGTGAGTCATTGTCGTACTCCTCCAAGGCCTCCATCATGAACAGTAAATTCAAGTTTACCCTTCTTGAATAATTAACAAATCTTTGTCAAAACTAAACAGTACAATGATTAGAATGAGCAGCAAGACACTCAACAAAACGAAAAACCAGTACTTATTTAACAACAGCAACACACCACATCACATGCGATAAATAAAATTAAAATATGAAATTTTAAATTATGACATTTGTCAACATCAATACCCGCCAACGGTCCCCAAGGACTTTTGACGTTCTTAGGGGTTTTCATTTTGCGTTTCCACCTACTCTTATCTGGATCTGGATCTTTTGTATCTCATCCAGAATCGATTTTTTTGAGAAAAATGTTTATGAGCAAAGAGTGACTGGAGCGAGGAAGAAATTTACATTTGATGCTATCAACTCGAGCTGGGTTCGGCTATTCAGCACGGAGTTGGAGTGGAGTAAGAACAGATTTTTGTCACGTGATCTAAGAGTGATTAGAGTGAAAAATTAATACACGAACGACAAACGACCGGAACGGTCGGAGCAAAATTGTCAAACAGCTGATTTGTGTTGTTTGAAAACAAGTCAACGGTGACTCTTCAACGTTCCAACAATTTTTTTTTCACTTTTGCCTTTGGTCTTTCGTGTACTATCACAGCCCCTTCAATTATTTCACAATAATGAATAATATGATGATTCTGCTTCTGTTTAACTTTGTCAAGGAAATTTTTTCATCATGTTTTATATATATATTTTAAAATTAGATCAATTATTTTACTCGATGATTACGATTACCAATTCCCGCATCCACACATAAAGGATTTTTAGTTTTTTTAACAACGACCACAACAACGTGACAACCGACAACACAACAAGCTTGACAGTTTACACATATAACTTCTGCGCATGCTTACTCTAAAAATTCTCTTTCCGAGGTGGAACTTTTGGAGTGACAGTGATCTCCGTAAGTCGAACGCTAACGGAGTCACCCCTAATACGCCAAAAAGCAATACCCGAACGGCTGGACTGCGAATGGAGTCACTTGGAGTGCACGGAGTGAGCAAGCCGAACCCCTTTCGGTCGGCAACCGTTGGTGTGTGTTAGGGAGGATTTTCATGCATCCGTTTTTCCGTCGAAATATGTCCGTTTAACATTCTATTCTGACATATTCGTATATAAATATGTCAAAATAGAAGACTTTTCGGACATATTTAGACGGAAAAAACGGATGCATGAAAATCCTCCCTAAAGCCTAAGTACTCATAACTGCGAAATTCGCATTTTTTTGACATTGCGTTGACAACTTGACGTTTTATGCGTGTATCAAACGTCAAATTGTCGAAGCAATGTCAAAAAAATGCGAATTTCGCAGTTATGAGTACTAGGCTTAAGAACGAAGTAAATACTCTATAGCCGCTTTCCAGCTGTGTGCTTCAAGCACGGTGCAGAACAGTGTTTTGTGTTTGAAACGCAAAAGTTAGCAGCTCTCGAAGCGCAGTACGGCTGGAACACGAACACGCGCTTGAAGCATTTGCGCGCGCTTGAACATTTGCGCGCGCTTGAAGCATTTGCGCGCGCAAAAGCTCGATGGCATGCTCAAAAGCGTCAGCTGGAAAGCGGCTTTTGCTTTTGCTTCACGAGGGTTTGTACTTTTTGACATTTGCCTTCCTTTTTTAACAAAACAAATTTCATTTATTAAAAAAATAAGGAAAGCAAATATCTCAAAAGTACAAACAAACCCTCGCGAAGCAAACATTACTTAATTCGACTGCACTGAACTAAACGGTCTGAGCAAATTTCAGTACCTAGCGTTTAGCGGATTTGGCACTAGCGTTTAGCGGATTTGTATATCGAACGCAGTCGAACTGCAAGGATGAGTGCGTTCACAGTCGAACGCCGGACGCTGACCGAGTGCACACCGAGCGCGTCTTTTGCAGGGAAGTCGTTCACGGATCTACTTAAAGGCCGTTTTAAGGGGGTTTTACATGCTGCAAGAGTACCTGCAAGTCGGTGCAAGTTGCAAGAACTCTTGCAAAAGGCATGCGCAGTTGCAACCCAGCTGATGACAAGTCGCAAGACTTCTTGCAATTGCAACTTATCGGTTCTGTTCGATATTTCTGCAAGTGCAAGACTCTGCAAGACTATTTTTGGGGGAAAATTTGGTAATTTTTGGCATGCCAACTTTCAATAAAAGTTACTACTTTTGAAATTATGTTTATATTTTATAGATTAATAAGGATAGATTAGGTATACCTACTTATATCAGAGCCGTGTTTGAATCAACTATCAACTTAAAATACAAATAAATCTAAGTAGAGATCATTTATTTATTTAATTATACACTGAAAATAATCTACTTTTATAGGTAGATAGATACCTCGGTAGGTACCTAGGTTTCATAGGAAACAATAATGATATTAGGTAGGCACCAATGACATTATCTGTTTGAATCAATTTTAATTTTCAATATGCAGGTAGAGATATTTTATTTTAATATACTGAGAATCATCAACACGTAGGTATCGACGTATCGTAGGCAAATACAATGGTTTCTTGTAACATAGTGGAGGCACCAATAATGATGCAAAGACTAGCAGCAATAACCTTTTTTCTATTTCTACTATTAATTTTTGAGATACAATACGATTCATTTTTTACATACAACAAAAGTAATAGTAAACAAGTACCAACTACCAACACCAACAAGAATAGGTATTGAAAAGTAAGGTTCTGTTTTCCTATAATTTTTTTTTCTTTATGTTGGCAGAAGAAAGCAATTGAAAGATTTCAAAACACATGTAAAACCAAACCGCAAGACGGCGCAAGAAATCTTACAGAAAGAGTCTTGCAGGTACTTGCACTTGCACCGTCTAACTGCAAGATTTATTGCAGCATGTAAAACCCCCTTTACAGCTTGCAATTCTTTCTGCAATATGCAAGAAACTTGAACGAGGGCATGTGCAGAAGTGAGTGAGCTGATTGGTTTCTGCAAGATTCTTGAAACTTGAATGGCATTGCATGCAATCGGTTTGATGCCATTTTTCTTGAAGGTTTTCGTGCAAGCTGGGGAATTTTTAGCAATTATGATGCTTAAAGTTGCTGCTATTGCTTTCTTCTTTTTATATCGACTTATAATCACTTTTTTTATTTTTGGAAAATGCAAACATCAACAACACAACATTAAAAACAAAAAAGTATGGTTAAGGTTAGAGAAAGAAATAAGTCAAATTGCAAGGTGTAAAACGACGTGCAAGAAATCTTGAATGCAATTTTTTTGCATGCAAAAAATTGCATTCAAGTTTTCTTGCAATCTGTAAAACGGCCTTAATAGACCTATCTATTTTTACCTGTATGCGCGCGCAACACGAGGCAATGCATTTTTATTACTGGCGGCTAGACATAGGATCGCGATCCAATGTTGCCAAATCCTCCTTTCATAAAGCGCCAAATTTAAAATAGATTTATATTGCGGATAATGTTACAATAATAATGAAAGGTTAATTTCTGTTATACAACAAATAAATTCTCGCATGATTAGTAGGTAATAAATTAATCCTATTATAGATATTTATGTTATAAGGATCATAATCACGATCATTATGGTATTAGCCGTGAATATTATCAGACGAGGCGTCAGCCGAGTCTGATGATAACACGGCGTGTGCCATAATGATTGTTTATGATCCAAATTTCATACAATATTTTATATTCCAGAAATTGTAAATTATTTTAATGGTTAAATGTTGTCTTCAATAAATTTTTCATATTTTTGCCTACTAAACCTACTTATATTTTTTTCTCATTATAGTAGGTACTTATAATGAGATCTCATTATACTACTTAGTACTCTAATGAAATCGCATTAAAGTACTCAATCCAATAAATTATGTCATTTTGAGACGACAAATGAGATCCATAATAATGTCATTTTGACAGGCCGGAATAAAAAATAGAAAATAAGTAATGGGTAATAATAAGATAAAAATAATAATACCTATATGGTATATTTTTTCATTGTGAATTTATATTTAGGTACTTATAGTTATTCTAAAGAAAGAAGCGAAAGTATTTAAAACTAAAAATAAAAGGTCAAAGTTCTCTAAAAAAATATATTATGTAATTATAATATTTAGAAATAACTACTAGCTTTGTTTGTTTATTTGCACTAAAGAGATCAATGAAAAAGACAGACTGAGGGCGGGTATTATAAAACTGCTTTGACAGTTAACTTGAAGTTAACTTTTCGAAATACATGTAATTCCAGAAGTTAACTTCATGTTAACTCTCTGTTTAATGTTGTGATTGAATTTTGACGATAATTCCGAAGGACCACCTGTCCGCCACACAGTTATCAAAACGAAATTTTCATACTCATTTTATTATTTACAACATATTACTTGTTTAAAGTTATTACTCAACAATATAATCGATATTTTGGTATTACAATATGATTTTTATAAAAAAAAAATGACGTTCCAACAAGAAGTGATTCGATAATAATAATAATGGTTGCCCGAGTCGTTCCGCCTCGCTGACGCCGTCTCTCTGTAAGTGGGGATTGCAACGTTGTCACGTTGGCCAAGAAATGGGGAGTGGAACATGCCGCCCGCCTTGAAAAGTCCACTTTTCAAAATAACAGTGGTCAAACCAGGGAAAACTGGAACTAACTCGTCAATGTCTATAACTGTCAAGGTCTTTAAACCTTTGAGATGAGAACTAATCTTGCGGTTCATCATCTTCACCATCAATTGGCAAAATGCAAACTTTCGAAATAGCTCGTTTAGTCACGTTGCCATTGGGTAAACGAACTGATACTACTCGAACAATGTTGTCACCACCTTTATGTAGCTCTGTCACTCTAGCTAAGGGCCATTTTAGTGGTGGCAAATTTTCTTCCACTAACAAAACTAGCGCGTCCACTTTAAGGAGTGGTTCTTTGACTTCTTCTTTCCACTTGGTTCTAACTTGCAGCTGGTGCAAATAATCTTTTGACCATCGGTCCCAAAAGTGTTGATAGATTGCTTGGAGTCGTTGATATCTATTCAGTCTTGACATCTTCATGTGGGTAAATTCACGTTCTGGAGGACCAGCGATGTTGTCTCCAATCAAGAAATGGGAGGGAGTCAAAGGTAAGTAATCGTCGGAGTCATGTGATAAAGAGGTTAATGGCCGGGAATTTAGACACGCTTCTATT